GACAACGTGCTCAGAAAGATAAAGGCAAGGGAAAAGTCTAAATATTGATAATAGTTTATTATGCATATGTATTAAAGATACATTTTGATAGTTCATGTTTTGTAATAATACTATTTTAGTATTATGAGTATGATGATGTGAATTATATGTATTTGGGATGTGAGGATTGTTACATGTATGATTAAAGTCGTTCAGGGTATTGAGATATTTTATGGGTGTATATGCTGTTAATTTTTTTTAATTATAATGTATTCATTAAAAAAACCGAGTCTGGATAACATGTTATACCAAAAGGTTATACTAACACTACTTTATAACATGTTAGTATTCCCCTTTTTAGGTTTCATGATTTTATATGTTGTTGAGTCACCTATTGATTTGGTGACGACCCACTGATATGTTCCTCCATCCTATCCACACTTAGTAGTTATTGGAGTCTTTGTATATTGGTGTCTTGGTACACCAACAACAAGAGTCTGAGACCCACGAGTGCCTACCTGTGCATGATGTTTTTGGTGTGTCTCCCGTTCCACCACCAGATACACACTTATCATCGGCTACTGATGTTTCCCCCGACCCAGTCAACGATACACCCCTACCACTACATATTGAGTTTTATGATCCGCCTGGTGCTTATCTCCCTGATATTCTTATTGCCTTCCAAAAAGGCACACGGACTCGCACTCGATATCCCATTCATGATTACCTTGCCCACTCTCACCTTTCTTCAAAGTCATATGCCTACACCACAACCATTGATAGCCACATTGTTCCCAAAAATGTGACTGAGGCCCTTAATCACCCAAGATGGTTTAAGGCAATGCAGGAAGAGATGGATGCCTTACAGAAAAAATCATACTTGGGATTTGGAACAACTTTCTCGTGGAAAGCGTAAAGTGGGTTTTCACGGTGAAAGTTAATCCTGATGGTTCATTGCATCGTTTCAAATCCCGATTAGTTGCAAAGGGTTATTCTCAAGCCCATGGGTTGATTATGACAAGACATTTTCCCTGGTAGCTAAAATGCTGCCAGTTCGCATTTGTATCGCTCTCATTGCGATCAATCATGTCATGAACACATTTCTAAATGGTATTCTTGAGAAGGAGGTGTATATGGAACAACCACCTGGCTTTGTTATTGAGAAGGAGGTTACAAAAGTATGCCGATTGCGACATTCATTGTATGGTCTTAAACAATCTCTTAGAGCATGGTTTGGACGATTTTCAAATGTTCTCCAGGAATTTGGTATGACCTACAGTTCCCAGGATTACTCTATGTTTTTATTCACCATGAAGATCGATGTATCATAGTGGTGGTCTATGTAGATGACATTATCATTACAGAAGATGATAGCAACGAAATTTCAGAACAAAAAGAATTTCTACAGAATCAATTTCAAGTTACTGATCTTGGACGGCTTCGTTACTTCCTTGGGATAGAAGTATCTCGATCTTCACGAAAGATTCTTCTGTCTCAACGGAAATATGTTGTTGATGTGCTTACTGAATGTGGTATATTGGGATGTAAACCAATGGACAGTCTGATGCTCGCTACAGGTAAGCTTCTTTCGGATGATGGAAGTCTATGAAGGATCCAGAGAGATACATGAATTTGGTTGGAAAATTAAACTACTTGATAGTTACTCGACCAAATATTACATTCCCGATTAGTGTCTTGAGCCAGTTCATGTCTGATCCTTATACGGGTCATTGGGATGCAACACTTCTCGTTTTGAGGTATCTCAAGGCCAAACCAGGCTTAGGGATACTCTATTAAGATCAGGGCCATTGTCGAGTGGGTGCTTTTACTGAAGAAGGAAATGGTAGAATATTTGGTTTCTCAGATGCAGATTGGGCTAGATGTCCCATTTCCAGGAGATCAACTACAAGGTACTGTGTATTCATAGAAGAAAATCTAGTTTCTTGGAAAAGCAAGAAACAACATATTGTCTCCCGATCAAGTGCCGAAGCAGAATACATAGCCATGGAAGATGTGTCATGTGAAATGACGTGGGTAAGGAGATTCCTAAGAGAGCTTGGAGTAATGACAAAGGACTTGATGAGATTGTATTGTGATAACCAGTCAGCCATTCACATAGCCAAGAATCAAGTATTTCATGAGAGGACCAAAAACATTGAAGTTGATTGTCATCTCATCAGAGACCGTGTGGTGGGAACACGAACAGACCCTCCATCGATCCAATCGGTACACATCAAGACTGAGCACCAGCTTGCAAACATTCTCATGAAGCCATTGCGGAAAACTCAAGTAGATTTTATTTGTAACAAGTTGGGCATGATTAACATTTTTGCTCCAACTTGAGAGGAGTGTTAAATATAGCAAATTTTGGTTTATCTTCCTATACAATAGTGTTAATATTTCCCTTTTTAGGTTTCTTGATCTTATATATATATATATATTGTAATCTCTTTTAGAATAAAATATACAACAATTACCAGATTTGAGTAATCACAGTTAGCAGGTCAGGTAACTGGTTACAAATGAGCCTTCATTTTTGGAGGACTGGAGATTGATGTTGTAGCGATGTTTGGATCTAACTCTATTGACCGGCCATCACTTGGCAATGGAAAAAAACGATTGATCCTTATAACCGATCAATTGCCAAAACACCTACAATTAGCAACGGGTCTGACCTAAATTGGTCCTATTGTTACCGGTCTGGTCCCTTTAATAGTCTATTTTTAATAAAAAAAAGAAGTTACATATCAAAGAAACATGAACACCCGACCATTCTCATGTCGAGCACAATCTACACATCATCGCGTCATTGATCCGACTCTTGCCATAAATGGCGAGTTTTACAGATTGTGACCATTCGTAGTTTTTTTCCATTCAAACGACGCACAGTGATTTACATCGTTGATTGACTGTAGTCCGACTGCTGGAGTTAACTGATTAGCAGATGTGACAATGGAGGTAGTATCAGACAACAGAAAAAGAAAATTGCACAACTTTTCATTCCTCAACAATGAACTCATCATGTAACAACTACAAATTCATATCCCCAAGATGTAACACAATTCAACCCAAAATGGCTAAGAGCATGACCACAAGTTGTCAAATTTGCGATGATCTTTATTTGAACATAGTATATCTCACTCGTCCGTCTGTAGGGCCTAAATGTTATCACTTGTTGATATTCAGCCTGGTGATCCAAAAATCGAGTTGAGCAGCTACACATTCTGAACCAGTGGAGCCATATGAACTGAACTTCTTGATTGAATTTTCGACCCCAAGATAATCATACACGTCCGTTTCAAACACTGTATTAAGACTTTGTAATTCGTCAAGTGTCAGGTCTAGAAGTTGACAGTTCTTGTAAACACATAACGCGACTGCCCTTCCAACTATGTCATGTGAAGTTCGGAAAGGTATTCCCTGCATAATGTACTCTTTTGTTAGGCAAAGGAATAACCAAAATTTGGGTTACTTTGTTAAATGACCTTCTATGGAAGTCACTTTTACAAACTAATATTATAGTATTTTTGGTACGTGGACGGGATTAAAAGAGACTGAAGTAGGCGGGTGAAAGAATTGTGGAAAGTTTTAAGGATTTTAATTTGACATAGGTAGTTTAGTAATTTATTAATCTTGTCTCATCTTATTGATTTTTGTTCAGGAAATTGATAAAATAGCCAATCCACCAAAGTCGATTCACTTTGTAGCCACTTCAGGATCCTATTTCCCAAACAGCCGAAGTTTACGTAGAATCCTTACGCATTATGCGTAAGGTTTGATTTTGGCAAAAGAAAAAAAGATTTTAAAAACAAAGTTTACGCAGAAAGTGTTTTCTGCGTGAACTTTGTTTTATTTTTCTTTGACTGAAATCAAACCTTAATCATAATGCTTAAGGTTTCTGCATAAACTATGGCTATTTGGGGAAGTTGGTTCCTGACATGGCTAGAAAGTGAAACGACTATTTTTGTCAATTTCCCTTTTAGTTCCACCTATTTCGGTGGGATTGAAAATATGCACTTTTGTCCCACTCAGACCTGTCATGTCCCAGTCTCATGTCACGCCAAACATGGGACGACAAGTTTTTGTATTGTCCTATCCCATCCTGTGTACTAGCATCCTAATTGGGAAGTCATTTAGGACACCAAAATTTTCACTATTTTTTTGCTTTCCGTTTCGGGAGTATTAAGTGAGATGAGGTCGACTTGCCTTGTGAACAAGATAATCCGCGAGTGTAGTGGCATCAAGATGACCAGCTGGTAAAGCCTTCTGGATTCTGTCTTGATTATAGGTGATGTTCTGTGCAAACTCTGAGGACACTTCTAGCATTCCTATGATCGTTTTAACGCTGTCAAACGCGGGTTCCTTGTCTTCCTGCAAATGATTGGAAATATAGTAAATGAGAAAGCATGTCGGCAAGAATTTTCACATTTGGAAGCAGATGAACCATCAAAAATATTACAGAAGAGTACCACTTTGACTTTCATGGTCAAAGCGAAAGCCCTATAATTGATGTGTAGCTACATACAATTTTGAAAAAGCATGATAATGCAATAGTTTGAATTATTATAACCAAAGAGTTATTGACCCAACGGTGTCTGGGTTACTGCTAAATCTTAGTCTCTCTATCGGTCAAGGGTTCAATATCACCAAAGGTGAGGTGTGTGCAAGTATTTGCCGTATATATGTATATTATATACTTACAAAGAATGTCATTATAGTTGTATGCAAGGCGTAGAAGACACGAGCTGACTTGCCAAAAAGTTTGGCAAAACCGAGCAAAGTGGTAATCCCAAGCCCACTTAGGGGCTGTTCGGTTCGTTTTCTGTTAAGTACGGATATAGCTGTCTGTATTGATATAGTTGTCTGTGATTAACAAATAAGTTGTTCGGTTGTTATGCTGAATAAACAGTCTGAATGTCAGAAATGACCATTTTACCCCCAATCTATATTAAACACTATTAAAACATTTGTTTGATAAAAATGTTGAATATTTGACTTTGAATGGTTAAAATATATCAATTCAAAGTTTTTTTAAATAAAAACAATTTGATCTAAGATGATATACAAATTTAATGATACAATCACAACAAAATCAAAGTTTTTTTTTTCATTTGAATGCTTTTGTCACCTACCCCTCACCCCTTCTCCGTTCCTCCCTCAATATCCAACCACACTTCTGGAAATTTTCTGAAACATTAAAACACAGGCAATTTTTGTCGGAAAAAAACACATGTATCCATAGCCTTCCTTTGTGGGCTGCTGATGGACGATGATGTTGTAGGTCGGAGCAGATGAGGAGAAGGAGGTGACTGTTGGTGAGTGGCAAGGCATAGGGCGGACAATGGACAATGAGGATGATTTCCATGGATGAAGACTTTTGGAGTTTGGAGGATATCGATTTGCTTGAAAGGTTTCACCCTTTAATTCTGTTCAAGGATGGAGGCGATGTATTTAGGGAGGAGTGGCTATGGAGAGGGGTTGGGAGAGGGGTAGTTGAGGAAAGTTAATAGTTGAATACAAAGGACAAAGGTTTTGTAGCTGAGTGGTTCAACCATGGGCTGACCGAATAAGCCCATACTGAACAACTAGATATGGCTGTGCGAATAAGCCATATGGCTATACAGTCCATTAAGCCGCAACCGAACAGCCCCTTAGCTTGTTTCAATATTTGAGCCAAGCTTGATCCTAGTATGGATCGAGCTCATCAACTCGTAGAGCCTAAACGGACCGAGTTTAAATGAGCCGAGTCCACAAGCCTATACTAATTGCAATATAATATCTATTTATTTAACCCACTAGTCTTAGCTCTTTAAGAGATTTAAATGCAACTTTAACGGTAGTTTGTTTGTAATATAAAGGCACTACGACAAAATAGGTCTATTAGAACAACCCAACCGTCTTGATAGAGTACTCAACAAGACATTTTAAGTTTATAGGACCAAAACGGTAAGTCATAAAATAAGGTTTACAGTAAGTTGTTAGGACAAAGTTGGACAATCTAACAAATTCTATCTTTATTAAAAAAATAAGTTGTTAAGATGAAGATGACAACCTAGGTAAAGTGTCATCTTAGCCTTTTTTACATGATACTTTTTAAAGATGTTTAGGACGTTCTGTAGACCTTTTTCAAGAAGTATCAAGCTGACTTAACAACTTTGTTGGTGGTGAATAATGATGTTAAGGAATAGATACTACCTGCAGATCACGGTTGTAAGCAAGTGGAAGTCCCTTGCATAACACTTGAAGGGTAACAAGATCTCCTAATACTCTAGCAGATTTTCCACGAACAAGTTCCATAGGATCGGGATTTTTCTTCTGAGGCATTATGCTGCTTCCGGTTGAAACTGAATCACTCGGGGTGATGAACCCAAATTCCTCCGATGCCCATAAAACCCATTCTTCACCAAGGCGAGATAGATGCATAGCCGTAATAGAATTAGCAGAAAGGAGCTCCAAAACAAAATCGCGGTCTGAAACTGCATCCATGCTATTTTGGATAATGGTGTCAGCAATTATTTAGTATTTCTTATAACAGTAACATTGTGATGTGAAACTAAACATCGACAAAAACTGGTTACGAGTCGAGATTCTTGGAACATTTCTTCAAATAAGTTATCCCAATATAAAATGAACATAATCGGCCCATCCACCCACTTAACATTTTTGGATCAATTCTGAAAACAATGTGAGAAATTTGGCATTACTGCCCACACACAATATGATTCTCCTTAAAGCAATTTATCATTCATGCCGTGGCTAATTGTCGATCATGCAATACATAAAGTCTACGGTCCACCAGTTCAATTTCCAATTGCTTGCTGATTCAACAATAGTTCTATCCCCAAGCCCAAGAAAACCAAGATAAATGATGAATTGCATCAAGCTCTGGGAATTGAAGGAAATATTTCACTGCAAAAAATTATAATAGCTGATGAACCACCGACATAAGTACTAACATACCTGTTCCTCATTGGAGCAGTGAATCCGAGAGCATCAGAGGTCATGAACCTATCTATGGGAAGGCCGGTGCCAGCTAACGCACATGCACCTAAAGGGCAGAAATTCAGCCTGACTCTGCAATCCAGTAGGCGTCCAACATCACGATCAAGCTACACAACAGGGCATTCACCCAAGGGTGAGTTATACACGCTGATAAAAATGTATATGCTTCAGCAAGCTAAGAAGAGGTACTTATGATTTGAGGGTTGTCGAATTATTATGTAATAAGAGCATCTCCAACAGTTTCTTCATAATTTCTCCAAAATGGAGAAGCAAATTTCAAAATCTCCAAAAGAAATACATTTAACTCCAACCTATTAAACTATTCAATAATTTAAAATAAGTCATTCACTTTCTTCTCTATTTAATTTTATTGGCAGGTTAAGTGAGTTTTTTCTTGGGAAGAATAAAAAAGTCATTCTCTCTTGCTCCATTTTATTTTGGATGATTCTCCAAATTTTTAGAATTTTTCCCTCTCTCTCCTACTTTCTCCATTTTCTGGAGAAGCTGTTGGAGCAAAAAGAGATCCTAAAACCTCCAAAATCGTCTTTGTAGCCACATTTAAAAACTTGAGCTTAAATGGAAGTGAAAGAGTGAAGTTCATCAATTTTGTGCAAAGAATCAACACCTCTTAGTGTATTCATGGTTGGGGTAGAGTCAGGACTTATTAATCACTTAGCACAGACATATTTATGTTAATTGAAACCTGCTCAACATATGCTAAGAGATGATGTTGAAGTAGAACTGGTTGCGCCCTCTGCAAATGTGTATAACCAGGGACAATCACACCTGTGTTCTTCTTAGCAAGGCTTACCAATGCAACCTGTAGACCAAAAAGAATAAGCATATAAGTAGCGACCATATGCATTCATGAATCATGCCTGTCGTATATTTTCTTTTGAAGCATATAATATTTAAATACAACACAATTCACACACACTCACCAAAGGGTGAGGCTTGAACCCTTGACCTCCAAAGAGGTTGGGATCTACCAGTAACCTTGGTGTCGTTGGACCATTGACCCTTTGGCAAGTTGTGATATTTATTTTGTAGACTAACGTGGATTGACAATTTAAGCAGAAACTAGAATGATATAATATATGGTGCCAAGTTTTTTGTACTCATGGAAGAATACAGTGATTCTTTTCCCTTCTAGTTCATTTCCATGATATGCAGTTAGTTTACAGATTTCCATAGATTTACTTAGGATATTCAATAGATAAATAACTCGTTAAAAACCCTTAGGGGCTGTTTGGTCGTTTTTCCATTAAGCCCTTTATGGATTAAGTTGTCTTTGTAGATTAAGCTGAAATGTTTGTTTGTTGTGCTGAATAAACTGTTTGAAAGGATTAAGGGAAAATATGGATGCCCAACAATTACTTTATGCCATAATCAGGGGGAACTGGCAACCTGAAGATTTTTTATACGTGCAGCAATCGTATCAATAGCATCCCGACACCACAAGCGAAAATCAGTTGAAACTTGATCGTTTCGACTCCTAGCAGTATGAAGCTTCTTGGCAGGTTCTCCAATCAAATCAGTAAGGGCTGCTTCAATGTTCATGTGTACATCTTCTCGGTCAGTCCTCCACACAAATTCTCCCCTTTCAATTTGTTTCTCTATCTGATCCAGTCCTTCAAGAATACTATCCTTATCACTGAAACTAATCAATCCCTACATCAGATTCATATGTTAGAACTAGAACTAAATTATATTTGCCATTAATATAAGCAGAGAGCAGAAAGATATCAAATTCCAGGACTTGCAGTTTCATATAAACTGAAAATAATTCATCAAATATAACGGGAAAGAAAAAGTTTCACCGAAACAGAAAGTATGGTTGAAATAATTTCTATCCTTTTATCAATTATCACCCCAAATATATTGAGAGAAGATGTTGTACTTCCGTACTTCTACCATCTCACCCCCCTTCTCACCCCTAAACAGAGTGCTAGTGAAGAAAAAAGACTCACCAGTCTCTTAAGTGTTCAGATAAATACTTGTAAACACAAAATGCAGAATCGAAACAACTACAAAATGCAGAACCTTCTCCCTCTTTATCCACCTCTTTTAGCAACTACAGAAAACACACAACAAACTAAAAGGCCAAAAATCAATTAGAGATGAACTAGTTTTCAGAACGATGATTCTCTCAACAACCAAACAAGCTAGAATGTGATATTTTCCGGTCAATTTAAGAAGCCCTGAGTACAGCATCTCACAATGCTTTATAACTATTTCTTCCCATTGCCCATTTCTTATCTTGGGCTTCTAAATTTATGGAATCCAAACTTGCAAAAGTAGCAAAACTACACAATTTTGTTTAAGAACCCCGAAGAAAAGACACTAAATTTGAAAGAAACCAAGCGTGCTATCATGTTCCGTTTTCCCCTTGGGATAAACCCTAATTTTGCAAAGAAAAATAAGCCACTTCCCCTATTCCAAATGTTAAATAGCTACACTTTTAACAGCTTACAATAGCTATCATTTTTTTCTCCAAAACACAGTACAGTTCTTATCACTTCGGAACCTACTAGAACGCATTTCACATTAAAAAGATCATACACGGAGACAGTGGGAGTAGTAAATTTGGAGATGCAAATCAAGCAATTGACATCCCAAGTTATGAAACAGAAATGGAGGGAGTAAAGGATACCTGGTTCGCGAGCATGGAAGCGTGAGCACGGCTACCCATAATATCGTGTTTGTAAAGAGCCTTATCGAAAGATATCGATTCAGTGAAACTCTCCACTGCATCCGTCACTCCCTCTTCAAACCTTCCTCCCCATAGCTTCGCTTCCTTTGCCATGCTCTCCGGTTGTGATGCAGCACAGCACAATGCCAACGTATGTCGCTTGTTGTGTGAAGTTGTCAGACGGTTGAAGGAAATAGAGAAGATTAAACGATGATCAATTGTTGATGATAAATTAGGGTCTTGGATACAGAGCGCGGAAGAGTAAGAGGACGAGTAAGGGGAAGAAGCGAACACCATTGATTCGTTATGCGGCGGCGGCGGCGGCGGCGACTGGTGGAGGGAAATTATCAGGTGCGTCTCGAGTAAAAAGTAAAGTATCCATTCCCCTCTCAGTTTTGATATTTTCACAAATGCTAGGGACACATTAGGGATAAGATATTACCAAGTGCCTGTTTCGCTCCTAATGGTGACATTAATAGCCAATTTTTTAATCGGCAAGAGGTAAGGAGTGTTTGGCAAAAAAAAATCAAGCCTCTTAATGGTTATATAACCCTCTTAACCATTTTGCATCCAATGGTTCACTAAACCATTCAGACTTCTATTTTTCCAAATTTACCCCTCCCACCCCTTCTTCCCAACCCCTCTCTTCACGCACGTCGCTTCTATTCCACCATCTCCGTCCCCGTCTCCGGTAGCCGGTAGCCTCCACCATCTCCGTCCCCGTCTCCGGTAG